TCTCTTTCTCTCTCTCTCTCTATTTCTCTCTCTCTCTCTCTCTCTCTCTCTCTCCACCCGTCCATCTGCTGGTGGACGTTGGCAGCAAAGTGGTAATCCCTCTATAAACCCATTGTAAAATACCAACTGGTGGGATGGAAAGTAACTCCAGAAAACATATTCCATCACATCATAATCATTGAGTGGTGAGGCTGACAGTGTGTTAAAACATATTGAAAGGCCACGACCCCTGTGACTCTCACTGGTTCACACATCAATGAGAAAAAACAATTGTGCTTTCTGCTATGAAAAAACAATGGGTGCACATATCACAAGATACTGTTTCCTGTTTCTAGTCACTACCAAGTAAAGAGAGAGACACACCCATATCTACTGTGTGTGAATGTTTGACAAAGTTACAGAAAGAGCAAAATCTTCAGAATATCATTTCTGTCTTTCCCAGTATTTAGACAATGTATAGAAACAGATGCACACAAATAGCTATGCACCAAACCACCACAATGAAAAGGAAGTCACAAGATAGGGGGTGTTTTGGAGGAGGGCTAGCAGTGTTAAAGGGTTTAAAATCCCCACCTGCTACTGTAATTTAATAACTCCTTTATAATGTCCCTCACCTCTACACATGTTCTCATTTACGATTCACTCTGGCATACAGATGAATATTCCCATTAGCCAACCTGCCACTGAATGAAATTAACTGCCTGAAAATGCGAGCAGAGCTGTCTGATAGCAGACAGGCTTAAAATGAGCAGAACATTGTTAAAAATCATTTTGAAAACACAAAATACTTACAAACCCATTACAAGTATTAATTTATTTAACTCATTAGACAATAAGTAATAATTACAATTCTAATTGTATGCAAGACTGTAAATATTCTACAGCATCTTCCTCCGTGATGTTGGTAAACAATGTCATATGCACATGCACTTTGAGATTCAGTGACATCAGGAAGTTATTAAGATTAAGACTATTGTAATTGATGTACTAATAACATCCTGTATTAGGTCAAGTTAGATTAAGAAAAAACAACAGGAAGATGAGTGAATTCTATTTTGAATGGCAGCACTGTCTGCATGGTTTCAAGGACTTCAACAATCCACCTTGACATGTATGTTGACTTTTGTTAAGCCTTTAGTTAATCTGACATTTTATCCACCTCAGCATGTCTTAGGGGCATGCAGCCTTCTTTGGAAAACTGTAGTGACTCACCTGCTTACTTGAATTTCCCTCGGGATA